TGGCTGGAGATGATAGAACCGCCACAGAAGTGATAGTATCCACTGCCGTCGACAAGAGAAACCATCCAGGGATATTCGTTCACCTCCGTCTCTACTCCACCAACAATGCGGTTGGCACGGTTGACTTGTCCACATCCAGCTGTGGGAATAAAGTGATTGAGGAAACTCGCAAAACCAGTTTCATAGAAAATGGAGTACTGGACACTTCAAAGTTTGTCCACCCGTCATCAACTTCCTTATTGTCTGCAGTTTTCTGTTATTTCAATGCTGAAGACTCTTTTTAATATTATGGTACCTTGAAGATTACTACAGATTTTGTTATCTTTACTTACGGCAATCAGTATTAGGATCAGAAGTTGGGGCAGGCGTGGGTGCAGTAGTAGGGGCAGGCGTCGGGGCAGTTGTAGGGGCAGTCGTCGGGGCATTTGTAGGAGCAGGTGTGTTCCCATCGACACAGACTCCGGTTGTTGAGTCAGAAATCCATTGCAAATATTCTGATGGAAAATAGTCATCATTATCTCATTGTACGTACAAAGAATGATGAAAAACGTATTAGAATATTACTGACAAGAACTCAGCTTCTAACATTCTCTTCATATATGGTATCCAGTCTAATTATAGAAAGTCTGACCAAATTTTCTGAATGCAATGCATTCATTATAAACGCAAGTGCATAAGTCTATAACTGCAACCCGAAACATAATCAAAGAATCCTCAACGCAGTGGTTACATTTTAGCTGAGCCCGTCATACATGGACACTGGAGCGGCATTGAGGTTGGCATGTTTCCTTGATCAAAAATATTAAGCAATCTTCACCAAACAGACTTTTGCTTATATTATACGACATCCCCACCAGATTTTTTTTTTTTTTTTTTTATAACCGACTTTCAGCTTCTTATAACGTAAGAGAAACATTGGTGGTATTGCAAGATATCAGTCATAGACAGCAAAAATGTTAAAGTATCCCTTACAGGCCAAAGCTGAGAGGTACATTTCATCTTCCAGGAGATGCATTAGTTGTATAAAAATCCGTAAGATAGTTGTTTTTTTACTACAGGAACTGATTCAATGGCTAACCACAAATTACTCACGTGTAACTCTGGCATAGACTCCGGGCCTATCAGGTCGAGCACAGCCATAACCCCACGACACAACTCCCACCAGCTTCCACTTGCCGTTTTCTTCCACCACCATTGGTCCACCAGAGTCTCCCTGTAATATTCACATATACTGTGTGAAATATATCGAAAGGAATGTCATATATCAAAAAAGAAGTTGAAATTGTATCTTTAAAAGGTAAGAATGACGAAGGAAACACCTGGCAGGAGTCCTTGCCTCCCTCAGGAATGCCTGCGCAGATCATGTTGTCAGTGATGCGTCCTCCGTACTTGGTATTGCATTCGGTGTTTGTCATGGTGGGCACTGTTACCTCGAACAAGGTGCCCGATGTGGATCCTCCTGTTAAATGCATTGTATGAGTCAACGTTGGAAGATTTTTGTTATCATTCTCTGATATAAAAACAAAACTTTAAAAGGCTTATCACGAATATGAGTACCCCCCCTCCTGTTGAGCTCCCCATCCTGTGATTGTGGCATCCACACTATCATACATTTCACCAGCAGTTGGAAGGCAGACAGGGGCGATTTTGTTGTCAGATGGAACTGGATCTCTGTCTTGAGTCTGATGAGGGCAATGTCGTTGTCCAGTGTGTTGGAATCATAGGACGGATGATTCACAATCTGTTGCAAAGGATATTACAATTGTTTAGTTGTTTGATCTTGAAAATATAGGTCGAGAAGAATAATGACAAAACGATTCAGTTTTTCCAATGTTCTATGAGGAAGTGAGGACATAAACTTACTTCAGCAATCTCATCCACTGAGAATTGGCTTCGCTTCCGGAGTACAGGTTGTGGTCTCCCACCAAGCACATAATCGAGGTGGTCATTGCTGCAATAATAA